TCCCCCATGTCCTGGCACTTCTGGTAGGCCGCCAAAAGAAGTCGATGTTCTGCCGCAGCGTGGCCACGACTGAACAGAGGTCGATGAAAATGGGCGCTCCCCGTCGACTTCGGTCTCGAGGAACCCGTGGATCATTGCGAGGCTGTCGGGCATCTTGCCGGTGAGGCTCTCGCGCCTGTTCCCTGGCCCGCGCTCGAGTGAAATGCCGCGGGCGGCAGGCAGATTAGCACCGCCGGCGGATGCCGTCGGGTCCATTGCCGCCGCGCCGCCGCGCAGTTCACTCTGCATCTATGATGGTTTCCCGCGCGAACGCAATTGGTTACGGCGCCCTGCGCGATCTTTCCGCTGACGCACGGCGCAAATAAAGGCCTCGCGCCGCGGAACGTCGCGGACTCAGCCGGCCAGCGAATTTCCGCCCGTGCCCAGGCGCAAACAATGCTGCAAGCGCGCATAGTAATGCGCGATGATGCGTTTCTTTTGCGGCGCGAGCGCAGGGCCTGCTGCTGCAGCAAGTGCGCGGCGCGATTCCGGCATTCGCCTGCAGGCGCGTGATCCGCAGCGGCGCACCTGGCGAAATCGCAGTCAGAAGCGAAGTTCCCGTAGCGCAGCTGGAAGACATAGGGCGCGGCGAGCGCGATCTGGCCGGAGGGCTCGCGCGGATCATGCCCTGCGATCTCGCAGCCGGCGACGCGCGACGAGTTGCCTGCGGTTGCGGGCGCAGCGCTGGCAAGCCCCTCTCTGCACTTAGCCACCGCGGATGCGGCGCTCATGGATGGGCTCGTCGAAGTAGCAATTGTACTTGGCGCGCCGCACCTTCGCTTATTCTGATCCGCCGGCCGTTCTCCATCGCGAGCAAATCTCGTCCGAACCCGTCTGCGGCGGGTTCGGAGAGAAGGCGCCCAAGGCCCGGGGGTTCCTCGGCGTCGCAGAAGGGGCCCATCGCCGCCCGGTTCATGCGATGGCGATCCTAGCGCGCCCCTGCGTCAGACACCCCTCGAAATCCTCCGCAATCTCTGTCGGGGCGCAATCTCCTCGGAAAACTTGAATTTCACGGGCGCCCCCCCGACGTGCGAACTGCTTTCGTTGCGCCCTCCACAATGCCCGTATTCGCACAGCGAACGAGCACCTGATCATCCATGTCCGCGAGGTGGCCGCGCTGTCTGGCGTCGTAAATTCGGTCGTAGAGCGATGCGAGGAGTCTCTGATATTATGTGACCAGGTTCTTCCATGGGATGGACTAGGGCCCTCATATTCAATTGCCTGCGTGGCGCCAGCGATCAGTCTCTGAACGACAGCTCGGTGAGGCTGGGTGTCAGCTAAGCTACTGGTCCACGAAGTGGCAGCGCCGTTGGGCGTCGTAGAATCGGTTGCGAACGATTTCCGGAACCTCTGTTCTTCTGTCGCCGGTTTCTTCCAAGAGTTGGGATGGCACCCCCTTTTCCAGAAGTCCGCTTGGCGTCGGCAAGCAGCTGATCATCCTCGTTCGCGAGGTGGCCGCGCTGTCTGGCGTCGCAAAGTCGGTTGCGGCCGGGTTTTTTGTCCAGTGGTTGGGATGGGGTTCCCCTTCGGCTGCCTCCTTGGCGTCAACGAGCAGCTTTTGAACGACAGCTCGGGGAGGCCTGATGTCAACAGGTCTACGGAACACCTGCTCATCCTCGTCCGTGAAAACGCAGCGCCGTTTGTTTGCGTCGTCGATTCGGCTGCAAAAGGATCACTGCAATCTCCCTTCGCCCGTGACCGGGCTCACCCACTGCAGGCCGGAGCCCCCTCTCGGCAGTCTCCATGACGTCAGCGAGCAACATCGAGACTCCATGCGGAACACGCAGGTTTCTGGGATGCTGCCTCCGCCGAGATGGCGCAGCTTGAGCCGAAGCGACGCCCGAGAAATGCAAAGATCGTGGAATCGGTCGGATCCCTCTGCACCAGCAGCAGGGGGACATCAGTGGACCCCGTGGACGGACCGCACAACTGGAGCCGTACAGTTTCTGGGATTGGGACAGCTGGAGTCGTGAGAATCCGATGTGCCTGCCTCACTTTCTGGACGCAGGACAGCTGGACACATGCCACACCTCCAGGACCTAGGACAGCTGGAATGGTGTGAAGGCGATGCCTCCCTGGGGCGGCTGAAATCGAGCCGAAACACCATAGAGAGTTTGATTCTGCATACGCGAAGGCTGACATCGAGCGAGAGAGCAAGGGTGAATCGCATAGGAACGCATCTAAAACACTCGTGATTCGCTTTCAGGAGAAGGGCGGCCCCCTGGGAGAGTATCAGTTCTGGACCAAACTGCGCCATAGCACGACGATGATTCGCATTTCTGGACCTGCGAGGGCTGAAACCAAGCCAAAACACCATGTCGGATATCACTTTTGCCTCGGATCCGAAGCGAAGTAAGGATCAAACTGCGCCTCGGAGGAGGGACAGAATGGAACAGCGCCCAGGAGGAGGAGGGGGCAAGCGGGGACTTGCTTGTGGTCGGGAGCTCCCGGATGGGGGGTGGGGGGGGCGGCCTCCTTAAGGCGTGCACCCCCTTCCCATGGGCGCATGCTTTGTCGATGGAGGATTTACAATGGACCCGTGCGGTAACGACCGCCGAAAAGGATGCAAGGCTGTCAGGCGCTAAAGCATTGACGCAAGGCTACCCTGGGGCAAGTTGCCCAGGATTTCCACGCGGGTCCACTGTAGGAAGCGTCCCCTCATCCCCCCCGTGACCTGAGTGCACCACCTAATCCGACGGGGAGGACGTCATAGGGTCTCGATGAAAGTAAGGGAGAAAGAATGGAGGGAGAAGCTGGAGGTAGCCCTGGCCAGGCGTGCAAAATAACCAGCCAGCGCGACGCGCGGCACACGTAGAACACATGTCATCCGAGCCTCAGCGGAAGGGCAATCGATAGGAACATACAACACAATAACTTGTTTCGAGCCCCAGGAAAAGGACAATCGATAGGAACACGAGTAATACACATAAGAATCGAGCCAACGTAGAGGGCAACATATAGAAACATACGTAAAACAAATGCGAGTCGAGCCACCTGTGGGCAATATATAGGAGAACATGTAAAACACATGAGTCCGAGTCCCAGGAGGAAAAGGTAATCGATGGGAACATATGTAAAAATACTCGTTTCGAGCTTGCAGAGAAGGGGCAATATATAGGGGCATGCGTAAAACGCATTGGATATGACACTAGGACAGGGGCGAATAACAGGAGCATATGAAACAGATGGGTTTCGAGTCCCAGAAAACAAACAGGATATAAGAACACACGTAAAGCACATGCGATTCGAGCCGCAGGAGAAGGAACGATCTATAGGAGCATGATGAAGCACATGCGATACGAGCCACAAGGATAGGGGCCATGTATAGGAACAAACGTAAACACACACTGGGCTCGAGCCACAAGAGATTGGCGATCTACAGGGACAGACGCAAAACACGTGCGATTCGAGGCATATGAGACGGGTAATACATAGGAGCACGGGTAATACATAGGAGCACGTGCAACGTACGAGTTTCGAGCCCTGGGACAGG